CTCTCATTCTGACGGCACCCATTCACCGCAGAGGATCCATTGCTGAGCAAGTGATATACTCCTAAATCTCTCCAAATCTGTCCCCATGGAGAAACAAATCTTGGGTGGCCTGAGGGTGAGTACATTTTCATTATTGGGTGAACTATTCCTTTAAGAACATTCTCTGTAAAAAAAAAAAGGTACAAAACCTGTCACTGGGTTGGTAACATGCACCCTTTAGGGACAAATAAGGTACAAAGGTGTACCTTTTGAAAAGGTACCGCCCCAGTGACAGCTTTTGTACCTTTTCTTTCTGAGCATGAACTCTTCACTGAAAGGTTTTTTGGGAAACCTAAAATGGTTCTTCTGTGGCATTGCTGCGAAAACCTTCTTCTGGAGCCTTTTCGTTTCTTAAGTGTATGATGCACTAGTCATGTGGACTACTTTTATTATGCTTTTTTTGTCCTTTTGGACCTGGCTGCTCCAGTCCCCATCCACTTTTATTGGACGGATGAGCAACTTTCTGCTTTTGTGCTTCACAGAAGCAAAAAACTCATACAGGTTTGGACATGAGTGTGATTAAATGACCGAATTTTCATATTTTACTGAACTATTCCTTTACGTTTAATATTCTGGCTGTTTTTATTTAAATAATTTGTTTTAGTTCTTTTCACTGTAATCAAATAAGTATGTAAAATATGTTCATAAATAAAAATAATTCCTTTGTGCATGCAAGCTCACAAAAGCGGCAATAATTTTGGCTGTTCTTACACGAGATTCCAGTGAAAACAGCATCGCACAATGTACGTTTTTCAGTCACAATGGCTGCCGCAGCTTTTTCTATTTCTATCTAGCGCCATTGTCCTAATTGTTACACGGCAATGAATAGTTCTTTTTATCACGCTCCTTTCTGTTCTTAAGCTGGCTTTTTACATGGCCTGCTCCATCCCTGCACATGTACCAAAAAATCTATTTAGCCCGAGTCATTTCTTTAGCTTGCTGGAGACAGCCACGGCGAGAGATAACTAACGACACTTCTGCCAGCACCTAGGGATTCTTTTATGCCAGGCTCATTTGCATTCTGATTAGTATGCATGAAATTTCTCACTGAACTTTAATACCCTAACTGCTGCATAATACACTTTAATGAGCATAAAAGTGAGCTTGACAATTAAAACTCACATTAATCACTAAATGCTCCACTCATGGAAGGGAGGGAGGGTGTCGTTGGGGGTGTTGGGGAAGGGCTGAGTGGGTTTTGACGGGCGGCCGACGGTGGGAAGGGGGTGTAGAGAGAGAGATGGAGAAGCACCAATGCAATGAAGAACCTGCAATCACTGCATCTCCACAGCCCGAGGAGGAATAGAGCTGAATGGTGACGCCCACTTTATCTAAAGGATTTTCCCCATTCATTTGATCCATTTTATCCAAATTCTTGAATAAAGACTTCTAAGTAATGAACAATTCATCTCATGATGCACTGCAAATGATGCCATGCAAAACAGCAGTGCAATATAAAACTACTGATCAATTTTCATTGATTAGGAGTATAAAATCTATATATTTTAATGCTGAAATTTATGAAATGATTAATTTTACTGCAGAATATTCAGATACATTTAAATCAGTGTTACTTTAGTGTCATTGACATACGATTATCAATTTTATATTTTTATATTTTCTGTTTTTACTTTCATTTTAGTTAAAGTTTTAGTAATTTGTATTAGTTTTTTTTTATTTGTCTAGTTGTTACTCATTTATCAGTTTTAGTTTATTTAGTTTTTTAGTTATTTTAGAACTTCAAATTAAATTAAAACAAAAATGAGAAATGTTGCCTTGGCAACTAGCTGAAATAGAATAAGCTTAAGGATTTTTTTAAATGTATATATATACATATATATTATTATAGTTAACATTTATTTTATTTCAAATAGCCTAACAATTTTTATGTTTAGATTTCAATATAATAGCAGATTCAGGGTGCAAAGAGACTTATTTTAGATTTAAATTTAAATTACAATTTTTTAATTCCATTTCCATGGTAACGATGACTCTGTGATTGGTTGATTCTCTCTTCAGGATTATAAGTAATAATTCACTGTTTTTAATAGTAATTTATCCTTGTGGAAAGTGAACTTGTATTTAATGTAATATGTGTCATATTTTCTTCTACCTTTTGTTGCTCATGTTTTTTGAAGGCATTTGAATTTACGGATTTATAGCCTTTGACATAAAAAGCGAAACTCTTTTCTTTCTAAAAGTTGCGAAGTCTATTCATTTTGCTATCCTAACTATATATAATTATATGATTATTTGCATGTTAATATTTGAATTTCATTGTCATTGTAAGATTATATAGGACACATCCCAGCTAACAATTTTTGGTTCCCAGAATGTTCTAGGAACATTAGTTCTTGGTTATAAACTACAACCTAAAAATAACCAATAGAGAACGTTCTGTATAGGTTCTCTTTAGGTATATTTAAGAAATATCCTCAGCACATCGCTAAAAATGTACCGTTGCTATCTTTGCCCAGGAGCTGGGATTGATTCTGAATTACACCGAAGGAATCGTTTGCCCATACAGACGAAGACATGTGGGAATTTGCATCTCCACACCTCTCATTTGCTGTAGGTTATGTTGTTTGATTGAAACTCTCAAATTTAACATTCCACTTTAGCTGCCCTTTTGCATATACAGATTGTGTGCTGCCAAAATGCACATTGCATCCAGGCATGCTTTAGCACACGTGTGCACACATGCATACAGACGCATGCTCTCACACATCAGAAGAAATCCCAGCCCCCTTCCTGGAAATTAAGACTCAAACCACTGGGCAATATGGGCGCCTACATGAGCACTCAGCTTGATACAGATGGGCTGCATCACACAGTCTCGTTCAGTCGCTCGTCCGTCTGGTGAAACCAACACTACCCGCTCATGCAAGAAGAATAGATCCAATAGGTCTGTACAAATACGGTACATGCAGCTCAACATTTTTGTGTGTGCACTGTGCATGCACTGTTTATTTATGTGTGTGTGCTAGCAGTGCAATGTTTAAAACATAACCTCCATGCACAATTTATGATGATGCACCACGGCTCTGACAGCGCATGGCTTATTAGACCGCCGGACCCCGAGGCCCTGCTCTTAGGATACTCAGCTATAATGGACAAATGTGCTCCACAAATGTATGTATGTAAATGCAGGATGGGGGAGTCGCCTCCCGCCACAACGGCTCATGCAAATCTGCACCAAGGATGAAAAAAAGGACAAAGGAGGGGCAAATATTCCTCGAAATACCTGGACTATCCTGCATGGGCTGCTTTAATTAAAATAGGGGCTTTGCTGTGAAATTATGGTACGACAAACATCATACGTGGCCTATTTTTTCGGAGCGTTGCGTTTGATTAGCGAGGGCAATGCAATTTGTAGTAATACTATATCTGGCAAAACCTCTTCAAATCTCATTAATTGCACCATATCGGAACATACTGAACCATTACGCTTGATTTCAGAACCTTATCACTCCTGGAGAAACTGTAGAATTACTGACCTGAATTAAAAGTGAAACGGTACAGACTGCAATCATTCACTACAGTGCACTTGACTAAACCAATGTAAAACTATATTTTTTTTACATTTTTGAAAGAAAATTGGGTGATATTTGCACTGTAAGTTCTCCGCCACAATGTTTGTGTTTTGCGATGCAGTTGCTAGGGTAATTTTGCAATTTACTAAAGTAATTCATTGTGGCTGCTATGTGGTTGCTTACTGGTCCAAGTCAAAAGAGACACATAGATCAGATATCTATGATTATCTTGTCCTTAAATAAGTGTTGTTATTGTTAACTAAAACTAAAATGATTAAAAAAATTTTTGTGTGTGATTGAAATAAAACTGAAATAAAATGAAACATAAATAATAGATGAAAAAAATAACCTTAAAGTTAAAATGAAAATTAGAAAATAAGTCTTCAGTATTCAAATTACTAAAACTAAATAAAAAAAATGACAAATGCACACAACAAAATTACAAAAAAAAATTCAACTAAAATGAAAATGAAAACTGAAAATATAAAAATGAAAGCTAAAATGTATTAATATAAAATCATTTTAGAAATTTAAAATAAATCTGAAATAAAATTAAATGTAAATATTAGATTAAAAATCAATAAAAAACGTAAAAATTAGAAAATAAGTTTGAAGTGTTAAAATGACTAAAACTGAAATAAAAACAGCTAAATAAAAATAAAAAACAACTAATAAAAATGACAAACATACATAAAATTACTAAAAATAATAATAAACTAATAAATACAAATAATTAATACATAAATTAACTAAAATAAAAACTGAAAATGTACAAATAAAAGCTAATTTCAAATAAGTACTGTATATAATAATAAAATATAAACAAAATAACACTGCCTTAAATATGACTCATGTTTATTGGATCTTCTTCACCCCTTTTTATTGTGAGCTAAGCGAAATTCATAATTATATACAATTAGTAAAGTAAGAACACCATATATCAGTTACATGTCAAAGTTTGATACTTAGAGTTTTTTTTTTTTTCGAATATCTAACCAAAATTATAAGCAATAGCAATAGTGATGCTTGACTTCATCATTAATGAATAAAACAGTTGTCATGATATCATAAAAATAACTGTTACTGAAAACTGACATTGAATCAGTTATGAGCGCTCATTTATGCATTGTTTTGAACAAAATTAGGATGACAGAGCATTGAGAGCTGTATTACATCTTGCTTGTTTGCTGATGTATTATGCACTAGAACAGGACCTCAATGAAAGCACAGAGCAGCTCCAGGCTCCGCCCCCTCCTGGGGGCGCCCTTCATGCTGTAAGTCACTGTCAGAGGGCGTTTGCATGATCAATTCAGCTGTAACGCTGCATCACTCAGGGTGTGTCGATGACATGTGCTTCATTATGGTCTGTTTATTTATTCAAAACGCACTATGGCGCTTAAAGAAGCCATTGTTTTCTAGCCGGCTGCATCAGTCTGGAGGTCTGGCATTCTCCAGCTCTGTGGCTTCTCTTCCCTCGTGCTTGTGGATTGGTTCAGGAGCTGGGGGTGACAGGGTGTGGAGAGTGTGAATCTGCCAGGTTTGTGGGAGGCTGGGTGTGAACAAGCTGTCAGAATAACCATATTCATTATATTTTCCATAAAAGGAGCCTCCCCCACCCGCGTTTATGATTAGCTATTCTTTCATATCCTCCAAAGGGCTCAGGAAAACCCCTACGAATTCAGCTAAAGATACAATTGGACTTTTGGCATTGTAAGAGCTGTTTTATTCAGCAGTGTGTGCTGAAGCAAGAATCACTATTGCTATTGATTTTATATTTGAATAATAAACTTAGATTATTAAACTCTAGCACAGAATTGCAGAGTTTGTGCCACAGACATGATTGAATACTGGCACGGGCAGAGGGTGAACCAACTCCAGGGTAACGCTAAAAGTAGCCCAATGTAAGCTATTAACTATATACACATTATAAACCGTCTTTTTAGGCAAGTACCTGATATGGGTGTCACGTAATCTAATATTTTTAATAGAACTGAATTTGTATTTAACGTGATCACAATTGAAAAAACAAACAAACAAAAAACATTGTAAGTTGCTAATTATAATGGTTTCATTTCCACGGTTATTCAAACAGGGAATAAGAAAGAGAGCAAAGAACATTTACATTATCAAAGAATATTATCACTTCCTTCAGTCTAGTGCGAATTTAAACGTGCTGTATGTAATTATTTGACTGCGAGAACACCTCAGCAACCGCATAGCAACCATCCAGAACATCCTAGGAACTGCATGACAATAAGCTAAACAGTTCAGTACACCATATCAACCACATATCGACTACCTACCACCCAGATGACCCTAGCAACTGCATGACAACAGGCTAAACCACTAAGAACACCACAGCAACCGCATAGCAACCACACAGAACTATGCAGCATGTTGGGGAGCTTTGCACAGGTACAGTAAGTGCCAGTACTATTTTCTTTAGAAAATGAACAATATAAACTCCATATTTTGTATTTTAATAAACAATGTAGGGATATGAAGTCTTTTTGACTGTCCTACTAGAGGACGGTTTTAAAAACATACAATTTATCATATGAACAAACTGTGATAATAAAATAGCCTGACTCTTATAGCAGTGTTACTATGAAAATTATACTCCATTGTAGAGTTTTATTTTACAGTTTTCATTCAGCAGCAGCAACTGGCTCCAATGAGTATGAACAACTACATACTACATACAACAACTTATAAAGACTCAAGAGCTGTTGTTCCATCTGAGGACGCATTAAACTGAAAGCTGCCTCTAATTGTTCCCTATTTAAATAGGTAAAAATTGTTTTTTTATGCCATGATTTTTATTGTCAAACAATGATCAAGTCTCAGAAATCACAGTTTGGCAAACAATTCTGCTTGAGCATGTTTGGAAATATGAATGTATAATGCGCCGAGACCTCCATCTAGTTTTAATAATTGTATATTGTGTTAGGAGGTAATTCAGCTGTGCATTCTGCCTTAAAGATATTCTCATTTAGGATTTTACTTTATTATCAAAGTGTCAGATAATAATTGAAAGGATTGTGAATGCATAAATATTTAATGTGCTTCTTCCCAATTTTGCAGTGCAAACGGAGGCATTTGCACCCAAAAAGTGCTGTATTAATTTTTCAGTTACTTGAATAATTAAGGTAGGGCTGTTTGGGGCGGTGCAGCTCTGACAATCTCATTTCAAATGAACTAAAAGCTCAGGTCTTTGAAGACAGCAGATATTTAGTACAGCACAAGGCCGTTCTTTTGATTCACAAAATCTTGCACAAGAGGTGCTATTTTAAATGCATGATTTATCTCTACTTGTATTTCATCCACTCACCTGAAGCACCTGTGATAGTAATGCTGTTTGCTATTAAGGTTGGGCGATGTCAAC